CCTTCCTAATCAGGCACAGTTCCAATCCAGATTGTTACTATTTCCTCCCAACCCTATCATTACTCGTAAAGTAAAGAAAAGAAATTGGGCCTTCTTGCTTTCTGAATCCTCTGATAGTTTCATTTGACCTGGTCAGATGAAGATCATTCAGACACAAACACAAATACAAATTATGGTGCCAAAATTGAGACAACATTATATGGATTGGCTTATAATTTGTGAACATAGTTGGTTTATCATTCTACAGCTTGCAGTTTAGCATAGTGGCAAACTTAGATATGACAATGTGGTCAATATGAAATACATTTAGTTAGGATATACTTTCCATGTGGCTTTTCTTGAAATACACCTGAGATAGAATTAAAAACAGTGCTGTATCTTTTGTGTTTGGAAATGTTACAGTTATCACATAATGTTTTATGCCAAGTTGTTCACATAACCACTTTTGGGAAGAAAAACAAACAAACCAAGGACCTAAACCAGGCATGCCCAACTCCTGGTCCACAGGCTGCATATGGCCCTGGACAGCTAGTAATGTGTAATTACTAGCTGTCCAGATTGTAAAAAATAAAGGATTTTTCTTATTTATGTACATTAATTATAATGGCCAAAGACAATTCCACTTCACTCAATGCAGTCTGAGCAAGCCAAACATTTGGACACCTATGGCCTAAACCAGGGGTAGGCAACCTTGGCTCTTTTATGACTCGTTGGACTTCAAATCCCAGAATTCCTGAGCCAGCCATGTTGAAGTCCACGAGTCATAAAAGAGCCAAGGTTGCCTACCCCTGGCCTAAACCATTACATCAGAAATTAATATGGAGTTGGAGATAGGTTTCTAATTAGGGAGAAAAAGAGAAAAAAAAATGTAGGCTTTCATGTTGTTGTGCTCTTTCATTTACAAACGGTTACAAAAAAAGAAATGATGGACATCTTAACCAACCAATACAGTAGTAAGGAATAAGCTGGCAGGGAGGGAGGGAGGTGTTAATCAGTCCTCCCAAGTTGGATCAAGGCTGGTATTATGCTATTGTAGCTGTTGCTTGTGGTTCTTAGGGACTTCAGCTCATGCTCTTCCCTTAGTTTAAGAATATGAGTTGTGAGAATCCTTTACTATAGGAAAATAAGCCTCACCCTTTTTTTTCTGTAGAAGCTCAAAAAGGAGCTGGATCGACTCAAAGATGATTTGGAAACAATCACAGATAAATGCAATGATTTCTTCAGCCAAGCTGCTGGTTCCCCTTCGGTCCCAACTCTGCGCTCTGAACTTAATCTTGTCATTCAGAACATGAATCAGGTTTATTCCATGTCTTCCATTTACATAGAAAAGTAAGTAAGGCCTTTTATTGGACATTATCACTGTTATTGTAGCAATATTTTTTAGCTATGAAAATAGCTGTGTGAAAACGTGAATGTTGAAAGGCAGATTTCTTCTTTCAAATGGATAGAATTAAATTGAATTCAGATATATTAAAATATTTTGAAAACGTTATTGTTATTTTGAGCGGCTATTAGCACACGTTTTATTTGTTTCAGGTTAAAAACCGTAAATTTGGTGCTCAAAAACACTCAAGGAGCTGAAACTCTAGTAAAACAGTATGAGACTAAACTTTGTGAGGAAGACCCATTAACTGCTGACAAGAGCAATATTGAGAACCTGATGGGTACACTGAAGGTATGAATATGGGTATTAATTTGGTATTGGTATTAATACGCCTTTTAATTATGTTAAGATAAAACACTTTGCAGGCTACATAATGAGTGACTTTTGAGAAAGTACCAGTGAAGGAGAATATTTGTAGCTCAGGGTTGAAATGAAGGGGTCATTGGTGCTCCCTGAGCTTGCTTGTTTTCTTGCAGATGTTTCATTACCCCAACTAGGTAACATCATCAGTGCTAGTAAGGAGTGCTGTTTGCTGTCTGTTTATACTCTGGTATCTTGCCTGTCTGGATGGGTGGGTGGGTGGTCTTGGGGATTCTTTGGTTGGGCTGTTTACTAATGGCTCTGATTGCTGGTCTGATGGTGACCTTGGAGTTAATCTATGCTGATCTGAGTTCTGATTACTGGTTTTCATGAACACTAACTGGCAGTCAAAAGGCATGACAAAAATTCTTTAATTTCACAACATATAGACAGTGTCAAGCAAGAACATCCGATGCTTCTACTTTCAGAACCATGACAGACAGATTTAACCATAGTTTCAATTGAGAAAATGTGACAATCCTAGACCAGGCCAAATCCAAAAATGCCAGGGAATTTCTAGAAGCCTGGCATTCTGACAAATTAGCCATCAATAGACACATAGACATTAACAACACCTATAGATTATGCAAAAGAGACACTCAACCAGCCCCAAAGAGAAAAAGACTCCACCAGTAATCAGCACTCAGATCAGCATAGATTAACTCCAAGGTCACCTTCAGACAAACAATCAAGGAAGCAACACCCCAATCAAGAAATTGCCAAAGAACCATTAGTAAATAGTCCAACCAAAGAATCCCCAAGACCACCCACCCACCCAAAGAATCCCCAAGACCACCCACCCACCCAGACAAGCAATACACCAGAATATAAACAGACAGCAAACAGCACTGCTTACTAGCACTGATGATGTTACCTAGTTAGGGTAATGAAATGTCTGCAAGAAAACAAACAAGCTTACAGAGCACCAAGGACCCCTCATTTTGAGAGAGTGAATACTTGCAAATGTGAAAATGGAATTGGAATCACAGATAAATGGCTGATAAAATATAATCAGTTCAAATGATTGTAGATGTCATTCCATTGTATCCCTTTATTGGAAACTGAGCTACATATTACACTGACTGAGCATAAAGAACAGTCCAAAGCTGCCAATTTCAAATATTGAAGTCTTTCTTCCACTCTCTGGCCTTAAAGACAAAAATAGTTGAAGTAATCTGTTAAATAAGTATTTCCCTTTTCTTGCCTTATATCCATAATAAAGACATTTTTCCAGGAAAAATGAAGTTGTAGCCTAGGCTTTTCTCCTTGCAATCATTTTCCCTACCGCTTGGGAACATTGAAAAATATTAGCTTCCTATGGAATAAGCTCTGGAATACTTAATTGTGTCTCCATGCTACATGATAAGAATACTGTAAATATTATAACATTACATATATTTGGCAATATTTAGTAAAGTGAATATGTTTGTTTGACATACTAAAGTATATCCCCGTGATTGATTATAATGTAGTAGTCCTCTCTTATCTATTAACTCACAAATGTGTGAATTATAGTTCTTACTGTCCTTACCTAGCATATTGATTGACCATGTTGATTGAGAATAGTAATGGCAGTCTGATACATTGGGGAGGGTTGGGTTTGGAGCCTGAATACGGCATTTGGGAAGATGCCACTAGGAACAATATTGTCTGTTTGTCATCACATACTTTATTCATTAGCAATGGAGAGCTGAAGTTGATGAAAAAAGAGAAGTATTCCATGCCTTAGAAGATGAACTTCAGAAAGCGAAAGCAATTAGTGATCAGATGTTTAAAACACACAAGGAACGTGATCTTGACTTTGACTGGCACAAAGAGAAAGCAGATCAGTTAACTGAGAGGTGGCAAAATGTTCATTCTCAGATTGAAAACAGGTTAGTATTTTCTTTTTAAAAACTGTCTTGACAAGAATAATCTCATCAAGGGAGTATAAAATATTCTCATTGCATGATACTGTACTGTGGGGTTGTAGCTGCCATCGCTGACTATAGGGGGCGAAATTTTGGCCCCCTCAGAGAGGGCCCGCAACTTGGGAGTCCTCCTGGATCCACGGCTGACATTGGAAGACCATTTGTCGGCCGTGACCAGGGGGGCGTTTTATCAGGTCCGCCTGATTCACCAGTTGCGACCTTTTCTGGACCGGGACGCCTTGCGCACAGTCACTCATGCTCTCG